CCAAGAGCAACAACTGGGCTCCCAAGTACAACGAGACATTTCACTTGTAAGTGCACGAGATGGGCAGAGGGGCCTTCTGGGAAAGCCAGAGCACAGCCCACGTGTGCGTCGGGCGTGGGTGGGTCCAGGGCGTCATGCAGAACTCCAGCTGGGCCATGAGCGCTTTGAATGGTTGCTGTCAATGGGATGGGGAACGACATGTAGCACCTGTAAAGAGCAGCCGTCGATTCCTTGTAGAAACGCACCTCTGGGCATCCCTGCCTGTCAGTCTGCTATGCTACGATGCATTATTTTAATGAGCTTCATAGCCCGTTGCTGGAGATGAAGCTGAGAGTCGCTAGCATGAATAAATCCAGCTCTGTCCATTCATTTTCACCTTGACCTGCTGCATGGGGCAACTTGCTAGGTCAACCTGTTTCCAAGGATACCATCTTCTCCCCTTGCTAGACGTGCCGCCGTCCTGAACATTGATAGCTGGCCTTTTTTGTTTGGCTTTCACTAATACAAAGGGGTCTTCCCTTCAAAGCTGCAAAGAACAGCAGGCTTTATCTCCATCCGGCTGCCTAATTAGAGTGAGAAGGGCTAGAGGTGCCCCTCAAAGGCCTTTGAAAATGGAGCCTGTTGTTCTTTGCTGCTCTGGTAGCGCAAAGGCCCTATGGGCTCTTTCTAAGAGAATCCTGCTGGGTCAGTCACTTGAACACAGTCACTGAAGGTGGCAGTAAACATTTTGTATTAATCCAGATCCCACGCGTGTGTCGTTTGCTGGCTTTCACTTGTAGAAACACCAGGAATGCGAAGCTCCTTCCTGGTGCTGCTGGAGGTCTCGGGGGATATCGACCACCACCTGTAAGGGGAGGTGTGGAGCTCTGGACAACGGCCACTTTGCTCCAAAATGAGGATCAGTCAGTAAAATTTAAAAGGCCTCAACAAAACAAAATGCTGGGGTTTGCACAGGCTGGCCAGAAAATCCCTTCTCTCCTCCTTAGCTCTCCTTTCAGTCCTGGGGTGACTCTTGGCTCTCGCACTTTTAAAAGCATTTTTTAAGTGATCATAGAGTCTCTCAGGATAGACAGGACCTGCATTTTGAACATGAGCATCAAATGAAAAGATGAAAAAGAGCTTTAAAATAGAGGTTGGTTGCCCTGACCCATCATTTTAAAAAAACCCCAAGCCTTATTTTGCAGTGTTTGTTATAGTGTCCTGGTTTTGAAGGTTTTCCTTAAGTGCAGTTTCTAGGGTTGTTTTAGGGCCCTAGAACTTGCATGGCAATACGGTGTCCAGGGTGACGGATCCAGGGGCTGTCCCCTGAATCCTGCTGGGTTGCTTGAACACAGTCATTGAAGGTGGCAGTAAACATTTTGTATTAATCCAAATCCCATGTGTGTGTCGTTTGCAGCATCCTGGGAAATGAAGATGGCCCCGACGCCTACGAGCTCCAGGTCTGCGTGAAGGATTACTGCTTTGCGCGGGAGGACCGGGTGCTGGGCATCGCTGTGATGCAGCTCAGAGACATAGCGGACAAAGGCAGCTGCGCCTGCTGGTGCCCACTGGGGCGTCTCATCCACATGGATGAGACGGGGCTCACTGTCCTGAGGATCCTCTCGCAAAGGACCAACGATGAAGTGGCCAGGGAGTTTGTGAAACTGAAATCTGAGTCCCGCTCCACGGAGGAAGGCACCTGAGCTGGGCCTGGCCACATCCCCCCCACCCTCTGCCTTGTGCCAACATGTGCAAGTGTTCAACCATTTTTCTTTCATTGAGTCCATGAGGTTTTTCACATTGTCTTTGGTCAGCTCCAGTAGTGCGTGTGTGCTGTGCAGGGAACCCCTCCACCAATCCGATGTGAATTATTTATTTTTCAATAGCTGGGTCAGATGCCCTAGAGATGGAGACGTGCTTTGTCTTGAAGATGCCAATTCTGCTTTTGTGGAAGTATGTTGTTTTCTACCAGGGGCTGGCGAGATGGAGCACTGTGATTTTTATCCTCAAAAGCTGGCAGATGTTAAGAAGTTTTTTCAAAATCAAACCATGGAAGAAACCCAAGCAGCATGTAGTTGGAGGAGGACAATGATTTGGGTTTGTCTCGTCATCCTGTTCACGTATCCTACAGTTTCTGAAGGATGCCCTTGTGTAGGGAACACCAATACATTCCAGCACGACTCTTGCACACCTCAGCGCCTGCCAAAACTACCTGCACGGGTCTCAGACTGGGCAGGTTGAGTGAATATCTGACCCAGGATATGCTGCTGAGAGCACAGCAAGGACCAGCAGGTCAAGAACACGGGGGCTCGGGCAGTTGCCCAGGTGAGGGCTGCAAAGGTAATGAGTGCGGCGCTGATCACGGCCGCCCTGCTGATGACTTTGGTGGCTCATGGAGAATGCAAGCCTCTCTGCATGGTGTCAGGACCTCTGTGTTAGCCAGAGGGCTGCTGCAGGCTGCTAGATCCCAAGAGTCGTGCTTTGGCTAGCAGTGACCTCTGGAACCGGCGTTGTGGCCACAGCGAGTTTTGTTAGCTGTTCTTCACGTATCTTTGAAATTCAGCGTTTCACTGCCAGTTGCTTTTCTTGACGACATACATGCGGGAGGCTGGGGGCTGAGCTGAATTGCTGGATTCCCACCGTGTCTTGTCTCTGTGGAGGGTTCGTTGCTGGGGAGGCAGCGGTGACGGCCTGCCTGAGAGCAAGCAGCCAATATTGCACAGCCGTCACCGTTGCACCCACATGCACAGGTGGAAGTGCCAAGGGCCTTGCTCCGAATCGTGGAGCTGCCGTTGGCCGCATGAGGGATGGTTTGTCTAAGTAGGATTGTCTGTCATTTTGTGTATTCATGTCGCCCCGGAAAGATTTTTGCACTAGAGTAGAGGAGGGTCCAGCTTGCTTTGGCAATGCGAGACATCGCCTGGGTGCCAGGAGCATGGTCTGCCTGAAATCCCTGGACGGGAGAGCCAGAGCAGCAGTGGCACCTGGCTGCATGTCCTTCCTCTTAACTGCAGCCGTCGCACGCTGGACCCGGAAGGGGGAACGCGCCGGTGCTTGCACACAGCGTACCGTAGCACAGTCAGGACCTTTGAGGACTGCCTCACAAAAGGTGATTCCTTTTGTAGTTTATTTTCTATTTTTCTCTGACGCTTGTACAGCTGTACGATACGGATCCTGTACTACACGAGCCTGCTTGTAGAAATCTCGGGACCTGCAGACCCACTTCGCTGTTGTCTCTGGTGTATTATAACTGCGCTCTTCAAAACTCGGAGCTATCCTTCTGATTTTTAATCATTGTATGTGCCATTGTAGCGGGAAATGATAGGATAGTCTTTAATAAATTATCTTTTAGCAGTACTGGGTTCTTAGTGCAATTTTTTGTATTAATCGTAATAATGAATTCAGAGGCCTCGCTGTAGTCTGCCAACGACTCCACCATTTCCAAACCCCTTTAGTGCCTTTGCTGCTGCAGATCCTCAGCAAAGAATATAAGCTGC